GACGTTGCTGCAGGAGCTGAAGAAATTACATGAAACGTTGGAGGAAATCCGATTGAAATCCTCGCAGTCAGTCCCCTTATCCTCTTCGTATCCCTCATCTTCTCGCTTACTGTCACTTCCTTCTCCTCTGCCGCTACCCTCTTTAGTATTTTCACTAGCAACAGCAGCACCACCACCACCACCACCACCGCCGCCACCACCACCGCCACCACCGCCACCGCCACCGCCGTCTCTTGCATTTCCCTTGAAAATGCAAGTGTCTAAACCAGCATCGTCGACACCACCCCCGCCTCCACCACTTCTCTCATCAGTTTCCCTGCAATCCCCAACGTCAGCGATACAACCGACGACTCCCAATAGTAGCAGAAGCAAGTTAAAAACCCCCAACAAAAACAGAACGCCCACGAGGAAGTGTTCCACGCCGTTGTTCAACAGGCCCAGCATCACCGTCGAGGACCTACTGAAAGTCACCCTGAGGAAGGCTCCGCAAAGTATCAAGGTACAAATCGAGAGAAATCGTTTTTTTCATTCTCACTGAGCTCGACTGATAGTACGCAAAGTCGCATACATCGTTTCCGTTTCATCGTCATGTTTTTAGGAAAACAGACGAAACACCGTGCCAGGCCCGAAGGGTCCGGTCGTGTCCCTGGAGATGTTGCGCAACGTGAAGCTGAAATCCGCGAAGCGTAGGCCTGGCGAAGCCCAAGCCGGAAGATCACCCAGGAACGGCCGGGTCGTTAAAAGCCGGGCTGCGTCGGGCGTCAACCTCTCGCCGATCCTAACCGGATCGGAGGGCAATCTGGAGCGGATTCTGCGACGAGTGGAGTTGAACAGGCCAAGGAGACTCCTGTCCTCCGCCAGCTCCAACAGTTTCCGCGAGCGCGACTTTACAAGGGAGATACAGTATCAGTCGTTGGAAACATTGGCGCACAGCCAGTCGCAATCCGCGCTCGAATGAAACTGAATCGACTTTAAAGTAACGGCTCGTGTGACACCAGAGGCGAGAAATTTGCATCTAAATTGGAATCTGGAAGAGAGACTTGCGTTTACGAAAGACTTTACGAAGATTTATAAGAATAATCTATAAGGATAAAGTGTCACTCATCAATTTGTATTGTTAAAAGTGAATAGTGGCATGCAAAAAAAATTGACACTTCGACATGTAAGACGCAAGAAGAAAAAATTGACTTCTCGTTTCTGATGTCGTACTCTCTGCAGTGAGGTACCAAGTAAAACCTAAAACTTCGATATTATGCTAATATAGTAGACGTATGACGGGCTCGTCATATAAAATATAAATTTGTAACTCAAGAGCTCAAAGCTCTTCGCTTTGTAAATAATTCCTCTTACAATTGGCTGGCCGAAAGTTTTAAATCGAAATCTCCTTAATAAAACTATGACCAAGGCATAGATTCGTAATTACTTTATTTGTAGCTTTCTTATGTGTGTGTGTGTGTGGTTTTACA